AAACACAGATGGATGAGCAGCATCTGACTTTATTTCAATTTGCTAGATGCCTGCAGGGGTGGCTGGTGGAGGAATCACGTGCATTTTCACTGCAGGATCCTGGAAATGCTCAGGTACATCTGAAGCTGGGAGAGTGGGGCAGACTGTATGTGGAGGAAGACTGATTTAAGCAATTGAAAGAAAAATCTAGACCTTCTAACTTGCCCTGTCTACCTGTGGTCTGGCAGAATGAGAAAGTATACTATCTCGAGAGGCTCAATCAGAGGAGTTCCAGGCTGGGGCTCCCTCAGGCACAGCTGAGGTGGCAATGAAAGGCCTTATTGAAATCACAGGAATTAACTGCATGATGAATCATCAACCATTCACCTGCTCGAGTCTTACACTAGCAGCCAGGCTTAAAATTTCTCAGGACAAAGTTGGAGAGGTTGTCTCTGGGTAGCTTACAGCCCAAGAGAAAAGAGATTTAGAAACTTTAAATTGGATTCATCCTAACAAAACAGTTGTGTTTTTACCTGACCATTCTACACTGAAATTTGTGCGTGCGTGCTAGGTCACTTCAGTTGTGTCCATCTCTTTGCAACCCTATGGACTGTAGTCCGCCAGGCTCCTATGGGATTCTCCAGGGTGAGAATACTGGTGTGGGTTGCCATTTCCTTCTCCAGGGGATCTTCCTGACTCAGGGATGGAACTGGTGTCTCTTACATCTCCTACATTGGCAGGCAGGTTCTTTACCACTAGCAACACCTGGGAAGCCCAAAGTGAAGTTCATCATTCATGAATTCAGTAACTATTCAGTGACTGACTATTAAGCACTATCTAATAGTTATGGTACCATCTATGGGATCACACAGAGTCGGACACTACTGAAGTGATGCAGCAGCAGCAGCAGCAATAGTTATGGTGATGAGCAAAACAAAGATCTGCTCTCTTGAGGTTAATATTTTAGTACTAGAGAAAGACAAAGAACAAGTTAAAAGTACATTTAATACAATGTCAAGTAATGATAAAGGTCACAAAGAAAAACAAATCAGGGTAAGAGGTTGGGTATTGACTTTTCAACTGGGTGATCAAGGCATGTCTCTCTGAGGAATCAGTGTATGGCTAACAGGCCCTAACCAGAGAGTTTAGTGTTAGGGCTTGGAGCTAACAGCTCTTAGAGTTTTATACCTAATTATTAACAAAAATGAAAACAAACAAAAAAATAAACTCAGAAAAAAATCATGGACCTACAGAAATCAGAGGAAAACATTTTGAACAATTTAACTAAAATAAGGAGTACATCAAGGCTGTATACTGTCATTGTGTTTATTTAATTTATATGCGGAGTACATCATGAGAAACGCTGGGCTGGATGAAGCACAAGCTGGAATCAAGATTGCCGGGAGAAATATCAATAACCTCAGATATGTAGGTTGACATATGATACCACCCTTGTGGCAGAAAGTGAAGAAGAACTAAAGAGCCTCTTGGTGAAAGTGAAAGAAGAGAGTGAAAAAGTTGGCTTAAAGCTCAACATTCAGAAAACTAAGATCATGGCATCTGGTCCCATCATTTTATGGCAAATAGATGGGGAAACAGTGGCTGACTATATTTTTTGGGCTCCAAAATCACTGCAGATGGTGATTGCAGCTGTGAAATTAAAAGACACTTAATCCTTGGAAGGAAAGTTATAACCAACCTAGACAGCATATTAAAAAGCAGGGACATTACTTTGTCTACAAAGGTCTATCTAGTCAAGGCTATGGTTTTTCCAATAGTCACGTATGGATGTGAGAGCTGGACTATAAAGAAAGCTGAGCGCTGAAGAATTGATGTTTTGACCTGTGGTGTTGGAGAAGACTCTTGAGAGTCCCTTAGACTGCAAGGAGATCCAACCAGTCCATCTTAAAGGAAATCAGTCCTGGGTATTCATTGGAAGGACTGAGGTTGAAACTCCAATATTTTGGCCACTTGATGTGAAGAGCTGACTCATTTGAAAAGACCCTGATGCTGGGAAAGATTGAAGGCAGGAGGAGAAGGGGATGACAGAGAATGAGATGGTTAGATGGCATCACTGACTCAATGGACATGAGTTTGGGTAAACTCTGGGAGTTGGTGATGGACAGGGAGGCCTGGTGTGCTGCGGTTCATGGGGTCGCAAAGAGTTGGACATGACTGAGCGACTGAACTGAACTGAACTGAATACCTTTAGTGAAGTGAGAAAGTATGATGTGAGAAATATTGAAAACATAAACAAAATGGATAACTTCTTAAAAATACAACTCACCAGAACGGACTTAAGAAATAAAAAGTGTGTATAATCTTAAAATCACTTAAAAAAAATGGAAGCAGTTAAATCAAACATACAAAGTAGACACCAGGCCCAGAGGGTTATACAGGTGAGAAACAGCTCATTCCAATATTATGTACAATGAAAAAAGCATAAAGAATCCAACAGAAATTTGAATATAAGGCCCAAATAGATATATCACAGAAGGGGAAACAAAGAGAGCTAATAAGCATAATGAAATACATTTAATACATATTCAGTTAAAAAATATAAAAGAAATTGGCAATACTGAGTGTTAGAAAGGCTGTGGATCTATAGGATCTTTGAACTATTGCTGGTAGGAGTGTAACTTGTACAATTGTTTCAGAGAACAGTTTTGGCATTATTTTCTAAGTAAGAACATTCACGTATTTTCCTAGGAATTCCACTCCTAGGAATGTACCAAGAGAAACTCTTGCACATGGACAGCAGAAGACATGTACAAGTATGTTTAGAAGCAGCACTATTTACAAGAGCAAAACCTTTGGAACAACCTTTGAAACAAGCCAATGCCTCTCATCAGAAGAGTGGCTCCACGAATCGGGATACATTCACACATGGACTGGCAAAGGGGAAAACAGGGCAATTAGAATTTCAGAATAAACAATAAAATTTCTCAAGTAATCATAGCTTACTACACGGTTCACGGTGAATGATATACGATCTTAATAATGTAAAATCAAACAGTTATTTTACCCCAAATTCTGAAATAATTACATGCGGAGGATGAGGGGATATACAGATACGTCTGTGGGAGGGCTGTAAAAGAGAGTTAAACCCCAGCCTTCTGTTATTTGGTAGTCAAAAGATGGTTTAAAAGTAAAAGCTAAGAAGATCAGCATTCTACTCAGAGACATAAATACCAGCAGCGATAGCTAAGGAGTTAAACGCTATTATTTCTGGAGAGTGAGATAGGACCAAGGACTGTTACTTTTATTTTGTGTTGTTATTGTACACTCTGCAGTTAATTCTACTTTACTTTTAAAGCCATGGAACACACACACACACACACACACACACACACACACACACTTTCATTCTGAAAACCAGACACCCCATTTAGACCAGATGGATATGACATGGCTGAGCAGAGAGATGGGATTTCTAAAAGAAAACTTTTGGGGTTTTGGAGAGAGAGCAGTATCAGAGATCTGTAAGACTATCTATGGGGTCTACTCCCTTCATTTTACAAAGACGAGGAAACTGAGGTATGGTAAAACTGAGTAAATTGTTCAAGTCTCAGAGTTAGAAGCTAACTAGGATGAACCCTCAGGTGTCCGTCCAGGTTCCTAGGCCAGAGTCCTCCTGCCACATCCCACTGGGAGGGGAAAGAGGTGCTTCTCCAGCAAAGGCAACAGCTTCCAGCTCTGGGATGATATATGAAGAGATCGAGGGAATCCTCTGAGCCTGTGCTGGCCCCACACCCACCGAGGAGGACATGCCTGAACACTGCGTGGCCAGGTCTCAGCTCCTGACTCCAGGCACTAACACACCGGCAGCAACTCCTTGATATGCACATATGCGTGCTTTCTGATTTGTGCCGATTTAGGTAAATCTGTAGGGATCAGACAGAAGTATGAGGCTTACTGCAAGCCAGATAAAATAGATACCAAAGTGTCTAATTCTGGACCTCATATGAAGGAAAGAGTGGAAATTCACTGGTTGAACAAATGCATGAATGCTATTATTTGTCTCCCATACTGGGTTTATCATGGTAAGTATACCTAGTATTTATACAGGGGATATTTGCTCTTAAGAAGGTCCAAAGGAAGAGACAGATATTTCGACAAGAAACAGATATCTGGGGAGGGATCCAGAGAATGCTGATGCATCTTCAGTTACTACCATCTTTTAAATACAGTGTTCTATGTGCTTTCACCACTTGGAATACCTGTACTTGCAATGGTTAATTTTGCAAACTGTCTATACACCCTCAAACAAAGTGTGACCTATGCACTGGCAGAGGAACATCAGCTGAGAGCTTGTAAGAAATACAGAATCTTAAGCCCCACCCAGACCTACTGAATCAGAATCAGCATTTTAGCAAAATCCCCAAGTGACACGCGTGCACATTCAAGTTTCAGAAGCTCTGGTCTACAGACCTATTTTCTAGGTAGAATTATAATTTTAACGTATTTTCATTGGAATTAGAAGCTATGCAAATAATCAATGATACCCTGAAATCAAGATTAAAAAAAAAACAAAAAACAAAAAACACCTTGCAAGACAGGTTAAGCTTGCAGCAAATATTCAATGATCAAAGCGGGATTTGTATTTCTCAGTTACCAGTATTCATTGTTATCAAATGCATCAGAGGGGTGAGTCTGGATGTTTTGGGATTGCTTAATGGGAAATCTGGTGGTCTGCCACAATGTTCCAAATATCAGTCGGCTTGCTTAAGAGTGTAGCTTGATTTCCCTATCACAAAGTAAAATCAGTATTCTGTCTAAAAATGAAATATAGAAAGCTGATCTCAAATGGCTGGGCAAATGGGCCCCAAATCCCCAAAACTAAAACCCCAGAAACCAACCCAACAAACAGGTGGGGAGGGATCTGTCCAGCACACAAATAAAAGTGGTAGTATTATGGGAGAAAAATACTCAAGGATTTAAAGGATATCTCATTAAACATACAGTCAGATGACAAAATCCATTAGGTATATATAAAAAAATCAACTCAAAACAACACTCACCGGGAGGAAAGGCTTGGCTTCCCGCTTTTGCTACAGCTGGTATAAATTCCTGGGCCATCATCAAAGAAGCTTCCCAGTGCCAACTTCTGTCGGATAGATTCCCTCTCATTTTTCTGTGCCTAAAATTTCAGGAAAATAAAACATGCCGATAAGCAGGCAAATACATCACAACCAGAGACAATCTAATTGCTAGGTCTCTTAGAACTGTAATATTTGACAAAAATAAAATAAAATAGGCCACAGCACAAGAGCATTTGAATTAACAAGAGCTGAAATGCAACCCGTCATTCCTGACTCTGAGTCTGTGAGTTAATTTCAATTCTTCAGAGCCCATTACAATCACTAGTCTAGGAAATCACCCTCATGGTACTAAATGGTTGTCATCAGGATGGAACTACAGCTGACTCTTGAACAACATGGGTTTGAACTGCTCAGATCCACCCAGAAGACTTTTTTCAATAGTAAATACTATAGTACTTCACGATCCATGACTGGTTGAATCCATTGTGGTGGTCAGCCACAGGCGTGGCTGACTATAAATTACAGGCAGATTCTCTACTGTAGTGAAGGTTGACATCCCTAACTCCCTGTTAAAGGGTCACCTGTAGATTATTTGGTGCTTTCATCTTTCTTCTTACCTGCTAGATATGACGAGAGTAAAATCATGGAGGACAAGCACTTTGTCCTAAATCAAATTGCTTTTATCTTAAATGAGGGCTTTCCCTGGATCATGTCTTTTGCCTTCTTTACATGGTCCCTTTCAGTCCACTTTCTCTTTGGCAAGAACATTAATTCATTCAACTGACAGGCACCAAGCCTCTGTGAGAGGCAGGAGCCATACTGTGATGCTGGAAGCACGGCTCAGGATGGATAGACAGAGCCTCTGCCCCTACCCAGCCTACAGTCTTGATGGGGACATTTGTTTTTGTTCAATATCCTGATCTCACCGGGTTTAGAATGTGAGAAATCCTAACACAGTGCTTGGAATAGCTGGAGGATTCTCACTGGACCCATCTGTTTCATATTTTGAAGGGAAGTCAGGTCCATGGGCATAGGAACAGAATTTGGTAAACTACACTACTGGGATAATTTGGATATGTTTACAACACTTGGCTTCCCATAAAAGTCCCATAAAAACTCACCATGCTGAACTTCTAAACCCTTTAAACAACAGGAGAGGAGATTAGACATGATTTCCTTAGTTAAAAATAAAACCACAAAAAACAAATATAATGAGTTGGATATCCTGGGGTGAGAATGAGATTTAGGTTTTCTGTTCTTGTGGGGTGAGGGGGACTGTGAGAAGCACCATTTTAAGTTTTGAGCAGGGAGCTAAAGACGATGCTGACCAAATTATATTACACAACACAGCTCAGGTGATGGGGTGTGGTCTCGGAACACCCCATCACCCTGATTCTCCCAGGAGGAGGTTCTGGAGCCACATTTGCTGCCACCAGTACCCACAAGTTAGAGCAGAAGCTCTGATCCACCATCTGAGCATCAGTGTCACAGTAATGAAATGCACAACCTATCGTAAGGCTGAAAAATGGCTTCATTTCATCCCGAAGTGAAGGGCAATACACTATAGGCTAAGGAGGCTATTTAACATGGTAGTTACTGGTCACATGTAGCTATTTACATTCAAATTTAAAATGAATTCAAATAAAAAATTCAGTTTCTCCAGTCATACTACTGCATTTCAAGAGCTCCAGAGCCACAGGTGGCTCTAGCAGATACCATATTGGAAGCCCAGAATAAAATATATGACAGCGCAGCCCCGCTAAGACAGCGTTAGCTTCAACAGTCTGCATCAGAATTTCCTGTAGAGACTTAAAAATGCACATTCCCATTGCTTCCGAGCCGTCTGGCTAAGATCAAGTGCAAAATACACACTCCTAGTCTCTAGCACCGGATATTTAGTTTCAATAGGCTTTCCTTCTAGTTCAAGGAAAGCTCATCTTTATTTTCCTTTTCTCTAACATTTAAAAATTCTTGGACACTATAACCATTCTTTCAACTTTCATATTGAGCAATTATATTTAAGTCTATCCATCTACTCAGATATCTTCCTATTTTGTCATGTACCCATGGAACTGTGTCATACTAGCAGCTGTAGAGTGTGTGTGTGTGTGTGTGTGTGTGTGTGTGCGCGCGCGTGCGCATGTGTGTGTACACAGCCACAAGGTGAAAGACTGCTTCTGCACAGTTACAGACATGATGCTGATCTCATTTGATAACCAGGCTAGCACAGCACTGAGCCCTGAGAAGGTAAACACAAGGTTCTAAAGGGAAGTAAAGAATGCTCTTCATTTCACTAACCACTTGCAACTGTATTTTTGGAAACCTTAGTTAAAGCAACCCACCCTTCCAAATATGCAAGGCTGGTACTTACTGGTGGTGGTCCTGCCAAAACAGAAGCACACTTGACATCTTTAATTAAAAGAAATTCATTTCAAAATCCCCAAATCTGCTATGCAGATTTAACATAGTCAGTGAACTTATTTCTGAATCCATGTAACAGACAAAAGAGATTACTTAATGTCCTCTATAGTCAGAAAACTGTTGAGTGGAACGAAATATCCAAATATAAAATCGGTAGATTATAACATGAGTGTTAATGACCAATGTCGTCCAACATTATCCTAGGGTCTGGAAGAGGTTTTCTTTAAAGAAAACACCTATCCCAGGTGTAAAGGTGTTAACATACCCTTGATTCCATGTCTGTCCCTCCTGATTTACTTGGTATGTTAAAGCAATAGATAGTAGAGAGGTCTTAAAAATATTCTTATTCATGTTAATTACAATTTTAATAACAGAATACTTAATTAACAGTTTAAAGAAGCCTGTTTTATGAATGGGTAAAGAACTTGTGGTTCATTTATACAAACAAATATTACTCAGCCATAAAAAGGAACAAATTTGAGTCAGCTGCAGTGAGGTGGATGAACCTAGAGCCTCTTATACAGAGTGAAGTAAGTCAGAAAAAGAAAAACAAGTATAGTATATTAATGCCTATATATGGAATCTAGATAAATGCTACTGATAAACCTAGTAGAGAACAGACTTGTGGACACAGTAGGGGAAGATGAGGATGGGATGAATAGAGAGAGAGAGAGAGAGACTGATTCACGTTGTTGTAGGGCAGAAACCAACACAAAATGTAAAGCAGCTTTCCACCAATTAAAAATAAAATTTAAGAAAATAAAGAGAACTATTTTGTAACACACAAATGTCCCCCCCACCCCCACCCCGATCCTCTTCTCTCTCTGGATCAAGAAAAATACAGGGGTTTCTCTGGTGGCTCAGGGGCCAAGAATCCACCTGCCACTGCAGGGGCCATGAGTTTGATCCCTGATCTGGGAAGACCCCACATGCCACAGGGCAACTTAGCCCAAGCAACACAACGACTGAGCCTGTGCCCTAGAGCCCTGGAAAGGCAACTACTGAAGCCTGTGCGCCCTAGAGCCCACGCTCTGCAACAAAAGAAGCCACTGCAATTAGAAGCCTGGGCACCGAAATGAAGAGTAGCCCCCACTCGCCGCAACTAGAGAAAAGCCCATGAAGCAATGAAGACCCAAAACAGCCACAAATAAACAAATAAATAAAATATTAAATTAAAAAAGAAAAATATGAAGAATATAAAAGTCACCATAATCCCACCACTGAGACACAGATCACTGCTAACATTCTGGTATATTTCCTTTTAGTTTTTGCTAATCTTATGTGTGTATTTTTCTCTTTTTTATAAAATTGAGATCACGTTGCTTATTATACTTTGAGAACTGCCCTCATTCATGCAAAATCCTTTAAAGATACAATTGTAAATGGCTGCATGCGTTCTATCCTCTGGAGTTATCTTCTATTGTTACCCATTTGGGATGTATCCAATTAAAAATGACATAGAAGTTAGCATTTTTACATCAATCCCTGCCCACATGTCTGATTATTTCCTCAGGATAAGTTCCTGGAAGTGGAATTACCAGATCAGCTGAGTGTGAACATTTGTTGAGGCGCTTGACACATTTTGTCACATTGCTCGAGAGGAAATCTGTTCCAATTTACATGCCCACCAGCAACGTGAAAGGGTGCAGCTTTCACTATATCCTGGCTAACACTGAGTATTTTCACTTAAAAAAAAATGCTATTGTTTTTAATTTGATGGGAAAAAGGGGCTATCCTTTTTATTTTAATTTCTTTGATTACCAGTGAGATGAAATATTTACATTTTTTCAGTTAACATACTAGCTTTTCTGGAAACTACTTACTATGAGTTTTGCTTACTTTTCTATATAGGTCTGAGAGTTTTGAAAATTTTATAGTAAGCATATGAGTTGTCCTTTTGAGTTTAGAACCTATGTGTTACATAGTTCAGTCAACAGTGCACTCCGTCTGAAGTGTCCGCTGGCTCTGTTCTTGGAAAACCCTTCCCAGTCGAGAAGTAAGGGCTCTCACTTGATGTTGGAGGATTCAATGAGAAAACTTACATAAATTGCTTAGTAGTAGTACCTGCCCTATGGTAATGTAAATCTGCAATAAACAGTAGCTGTTATGATTAATCCTCCACCCATTCTTGCTCTGAAGATGAGGAAACAGAGGCTGAAGGAGGGTTACCCTACTATTAGAAGAGCAAGGATTCAAGTCCATATTTCTGGGGCCACATCTCCCAGCTCCTCTTCCACATGGGTTAGTCAAGTGTCCAGGTGGACACCATGCTGGAGATAGATGTCTATCGACTTCTTTCCTGAAATGGATGTGACGCTTTCTCAGAAAAGAACACACCTGACTTCAAAACATATACTAAAACATGGCTAATCATAACCACAAATATTTATAACACAAATATCTTCTCATCAGAGCCACTCTCTTGCCATCACTGCTCAGTCTTCCTTCTGGAAAAAATGTGATTCCTAACATTTCAAATTCCTATATTCAACTGACTAGTAAAACAGCTTTTCTCTTAAACTTCAACAGTTGGAACCCAATTTCCTTCCAGTTGCCCACATGTGTAAAGTAGGAGTGTGTGTGTGTGTGTGTGTGAGAGAGATGGAATATTCCTTGCCATATCAGTAAACAAAGGATACCGTAGTCCTTGGCAATTGCGGCCCTCTAACGTGAGTTG